GGGGTGACTCGAAGCGGCATTACACGCATGATTACCCTCCAGATCAGGGGAACAGGGGCTTAACTGCGTGAGAAACGGCTGTTATTCAGGTAATGGATTTACAGCACTCACTACTAAAGTATCAGACACAGCAATTTTTTACAGCTTTCACGCTGGAATTTATGGCTCAGGGAGGCGATCTCCATCCGAGGCAGGGATCATTGCCTTATTTAGTAGCCGAGGAAGAAAATTTATGTTTTCTCCAAAGTTTGTTTTGAAAGGTAACCTGCAGGCACGCACGCGCGTTCCCCCTCCTCCCCGCACCTCCCGCACACGGGGAGACGTGTGCCACGCAGCTCCTGGGCACCGGCTCCCCGAGGTGCACACGCGTGTGCTCAAGGATGGAGCTGTTGCACGCACACGTCACAGTCACACGTGTTTGTGGCCACGCATGTGAGGTTCATTCTTCAGTTTAACGCACCAGGAGCCCCGAAGAATGGGAGACCACCTCCAGTCACCCACCGGGGTGATCAAATATGGCTTCGGAGAAAACCTGCTCCTTATTTCACAGCCAACAGGTCTTTGCTTGTGAGAGCAAGCTCTCCTCCTCCTCCTGCACGGATGGGGACACAGCAGCCAGACCCCACCGGCGCAGGCAGGACCTCCCCCCCAACGCAGCCGTCTGGGGCAGCGGGCACCAGCCCACGAGCTGCACGGACGGATGGGCTCCGTCTCCCGAGGGATGCGCACCCCGAAGGACAGGCACCTGTTTTTTGGGGCAGCACCCGCTTTTTGGGGCACCACCTACACCCCAGCTTCAACAGGGATGACCGTGGCTGATGCAACCCATCTCCCAGGCCAGCCCCGGGGACGAGGGGAGGGTAAAATGGGGTGTTGCCCCCCAGTCAAACCCTGGAAGGACCCAGTTCCACGTTGCCTTGCGTGAGAGAAGGAAGCAGGGCGTCCCTCCTACCTGCTGCTGCTGGAAGTGTAGGAGCTCCACGGGGCCCATCTCGCCGTTGGTCTCCCCGCTGGCGGCT